TAATTAGTTGCCATTTTTCCATGCTTTATGAATCCACTTGATGTAATTTCTTCAACTGACCCTCTCTTTCAACTTTGTTGCTATGGAATTTAAATCTGATAAGCAAATTTGTTGTCAGAACACTGTCTCTAATTTGTTTAATTTCCTCCTGAACAAAAGGCTGAGGTCATTCCTATGATCAAAAAATGTAAGATTTTGAGTACAGGAATTTTTTGATATATTATGATTATTCATGGAGCAGTCTTAAATTTTTTGTTCTAATTAAGTTTTGGGCCAATGATGCATCCATATTATGGTACTTTAGGAGAAAAGAAATGTTATTAGATATTCTTTATGTTCTGTATGAACTAACTGCAACAGAGCAAAATTATCTGGGAACTAAAATCTGGAGTTACAGTTGTGGGGAAACGAGTGAAGGAAAAACCCAGCCTTCATTAGAGTACAGTAGAAAGAAATGCTTTTCTTTAAGGATGGCTGTGAGCACTATCTTTCAGTTTAAACAAATAATTGTAGATGAAAATGAAATGGTAAAGTGGGACTGAATATATTCTCTCAGTACCACTCTGCACTTAAATGTATCATTTAAGTTAAGTGAAATACTAGAGAGAAGAGGAGAGGACTAGTAGGAGAGAGGCAGAGCATAGGAGTTTCTGAAGGAGGAAATAGAAATCAACCATGAGTAATGAGTAATAATTATTCCTTTGTGTTCCCCTCATCTACAATATCCTTCCTCTTATTTCTTCTTTCAGTCTGACAATGGCACTTTGTACCATCAGTTCTTTTTTTATTGATTGATTTTTATGTATTTTTATTGGTATATTTATGGGGTACTTATGATTATGTTTATTGTGGGAGTTTACACATCTTCGTTCTTTTTTGTCTCTTCCCCTCATGTCTCTTGCTGCACCCTTTAACGCTTGACCCCCTTCCCATTTGTAAAAACTGTATCCATCTTTTTCTTACACTTGAAGGAGACCAGTGGAGGATTCCTTTGGGTAGAGTTCAGGAAGATCAACTGAGCAGGTGTAGGTTTCCAAGGGTAACATTGCAGGATTCAAGAGATGACATGAAGTTTTTTTGTTTTGTTTTACTTGGGGTACTGGGATGCCAGCATCCTAGGAATGAAACAGAGCTGGAAAGTGGTCTAGATAGCACGTGTCAAAGAGACTCAGACAGTAGTCAGTAGGGTTCTGCACTTTGAGGGGCCTAAAGACCCTTGACTATGGGGGATATAGAGTGTTAGGATCAGGATGAGGCAAACAAATGCATGCGTGTCAGAAACAATAAATGAGGAAATGTACAGAAGAAGATGCTAGAATTGCTGCAAGAGTTACTGTTTATGAGTAGCAGAATACCTCCATCATATGGGGGTGCCTCCTCCAGCCACATAAAGTCCTGAGTACTACAAAAAGACTGGTTTCCCTGAGCAGAGGGAATTCTACTGCTCTTGCTTTGGGCTTTATCTGTCTCACTGGTCTCCTGATCTGGAGCTCACTGGCCCATACTGCAAATGTGGACTTGCCAGACTCCAAAATTGCCTGAGCTAATTTCTTATAATAAATCTCCAACACATCCTATTAGTTCTGTTTCTTTGGAAAACTCTACTACAAGGGCCAAGACACAAATATCTTTTTATACAGTAAAATCTCTGTTCACCAACCCTTCTGTTTATGAACAATTTGGTTCACAAAGAGAAGCATTCTGCAAAATTTTGCTTCCACTTTCGAACTCTGAATCGGGTGACTAGCATGACCATGGCCATCTTCCCCCAGAATCATGGAATGAATTAAATTTGTGAACTGAGGTGCCACTGTAATTTCAGATCTTAAAGTCTATGAAAATGTAAAAAGTCTGAGCAGTTCACAGAAGTTTTTTCAACAAGGAAAGAAATTAATATCTACATACCTGTGTATCATGACAGATTAAAACAAAACACAAAGTTTTTGGCCAGTGACAGTTCATTTCCTGTAATAACATGACAAAAATTGGTAAGTATTTACCAACATCCTGTATATACACATACTAAGATACTATGTCTAAATATAACTGAAAACTTTCTTAACAATATTTATTTATTTGATTCTTTTAAGATTAGAGCCAGGATTAGCAGCTGCCCTTTATAACTTCACAATTGCTTCTTTAAGCATTATTTCAGAATGACTAAGACTATGGAAACATCAAAATTTAACCTTCATTTATTGCATAAAATTCTGTTGAGATTACTTGAAGTCTTAGATGAGTATGAAATACAGCTTGGTTAAGCATCCAACAGTTTTTCTCAGTGAAGATTACTCCTTTTTTTCCTAAGCAGTGACGGAGAGGACAGAGGATGGATTTGGGTGTCTGTCACACCCTGATTCACATCATACCAGTACTTCTTATCAGCTCTCTGTCTGTGGACAAGATAGTATGTGTGTTTACATCCTTTGAAAAATGCAATTGAAAATGATTTCCTTTTTCAGAACTAAATAAATTATGTGAAAATGTCCGTGGCGTCGCCAGGCACTCAAATATGTTCTTGATACATGTAATGTTCCTTTCTTCTTTATAGTTCATATAAATACTTATAACTTTATAGTTTTTAATTGATATTTCTGCATGAATTATGAAGTACAAAATTGTATTAGTTACAGTAAGCTTCAAGATCATTAGTGGTGCCAAGTGTTGTAATGTATAAGAAAACTGAGTTTCTAGAGAATTTTCTTTGCCTTAGGGCACAGCATTCGTTAGGGAAAGCAAGGCACATTTGTTTTCAGAATGCAGATGGACCCCTATGAAATAACAGTTTACTCATTGGACAAATTAGCTTTGAAAAGAGACACTGTTTTCTAGTTTTAGAACATACGAGTGTACCTATCTTTGTTTCTGTATTGCTTTATCTATTAAAAAAGAGCAATGATACGTGGCTCATAGAGTTGTGAAAATTAAATTCCAAGCATGAAAACAATCTCGTTCACACTGGATAAGTGCGTATATTTATAATCTGCACAACGATTTGATTACTCAAGTTTTTAGGCACAAAATGTAGCATGTTCTTTCAACTGATGGCAGCTCAGTTATCTGAATTGTCGTCCTTGAAACTCTCTTTAAGAATTCTTCGAAGCAATAATGAGAGCAATGTTTTACCTTGCAAATAAATTTCAGTTTGGTAGAAGCTATTTCCAGGAAATTCTGTTAGCGTAAAATAAGTTTCTATAAGTATGGTGTATGAAGAAGTGAGAATCAGAAGTCATGTTTATTTTTCTAACTTTTCTTATTAAATCCTCCTTTAAATAACATTGTGGGCTCTGTGCTATACGATGAAATGAACAGTATAATTTGTTACTAAGCACTTTTTTCTCTATGTAAATTACCAAATTATCTGAACTGTGTTGGACTTGTTGTTTTTAATAATATTCTACAAATAACCAGACGAATAGACTCAGTGCCCTCTAGTGATTTTCTAAAATAAACAACCTTCCTTCCCTTGCAATATCAACCTTAAACACTTTCTTTGTCTTAAGACTTTTATACTACTGAGTTTTTTAAAACTTCTTTGTATACCACCTACTGCAATAATAAAACTGGTCTTCTGGCCTCTAAATAATATACTTTTTCTTGTTTGTATCTGTCTTGCCCTAACTAACCTTAGGCCAAATGCTGTACACAAAGCAATAATAAATGTTCGCCATCTGTATTATTTTTATTATACTTTCATGTGCTCAACCTTTTCAAGGCCTAATTAAAAACCCTGATCCTCGGGCTGGAGATTTTGCTCAGTGGTGCCGCTGCCTGCCTGGCAAGCAAGTCCCGAGTTCAATCCCCAGTACTAAACAAAACAAACAAAATACACAAAAAACCCCACTCCAACTTCTTATCTGGCTGTCTTTCTTATAACTGCCATTGCAACTAATGCTGTACTGTACTCCATTCACCCAGTTTATATAACCACTTTAACTCTATTTCCCCCTTCCAGGTGAGCTTTTACAGACTTCTATATTTTGCTTTATTCACAATTTAAAAACCTATGATTGAGAGCATTATGTTTATCTAAATATACACAGGCTCAAAACCAATAAAATTATTCCACTGCACTGAACTGGTGAGTGTATTTTCATAATGTCGTCATAAGTTTGCCTCTAATTTGATACCTATCCTTTTTTTTTTTTGCTTTGAGGCAGTATGATGTTAGGAATTCAGTTTTAAGTGTCCTGCTGTTCACTGGTCTAACTCCAATAAAATCAAACCTACACAGACTTCTTTTTAGTTGTAAAATAATCATTACATTACTATGTGAGTATGACACATCACATTAGTAAGTGGGCACTCAGGGGTCAGTTTCCAAGCCCTTGAAACATACTGTTGTGACTTCACCAGCTTTAAGACTGGGCGCTCGACTTCCCCCTCAGCCTGGCTTTGTGCCCCGGGATTCTGTTCTGGGTAATAGCAGCATCACCTATGTGTAAGCAAAAGTGAAACACCAACAGTCTGACCACATTCCTTTCACTCGTACTCCTAGCATTAGACTTGGTACCAAATGCTAAAGAGTCTCTCTGTAAATGTAACTTGAAAGCAAGGTGCTTACTCAAGCACAGATCACTAGCTATCAGATCTTACACCAGTAAAGGCATCCTTTGAGAACTTTTGTCTACAAAATGGGAAAATACTCCCTGTTTCCTCACTGTACAGAATTTCTGAGAGAATCAAATAACATCCCTGAAAGCAAGCCAAAAACTACAAAGGGTTGAATAAATGCAAAGTTTTATTGCTGTTATTATTATTCTTATTAAATATGTTACTTGGTCACTTTAATAATATCTGCTTCTCAGTTGACATTGATTCTTGGTTGTCTTAGATGAGACATTGTTTTATCATGTTAAAAACTTAGACATTACCAAAGTGTGTGTGAACTTATACTTCTTCATGACAAAATGTGGAATGTCTAACATACAGTTGATACTGAGAGGAATGTATTCTATGGCTTTTACTCTATGTACAGACTCTGTGTTTCCTCATTCCAGGTGCCTGTTGTGGCCATTCTGGGCTCTGGTGGGGGCTTCCGGGCCATGGTGGGATTCTCTGGTGTGATGAAGGCATTGTATGAATCAGGGATTTTGGATTGTGCCACCTACATCGCTGGTCTTTCTGGCTCCACATGGTTAGTATGCATTTTCAGTTTTAGTTTTATCATTCCAAAGGTTCAAAATTTATCTAGACTCAAACATTGGAAAGAGGGATTTAGAAAATTGAGCATTAGTTTCAAATTATTGAAATGTTCCAATTTGTTGCCACAATCTGCTTAAGGATATATTTTTTAAAAAAAGAAAGCTACATCTAGTAATGATCTGTGCCATATATTAACTCCATTTTAGCTGATTGGTAGCTTACAATGTACTTAAAGCTAAAGTAAAAATAAAATATAGACCAGCTGAAGATAATTCTACAAAAATATTGCAGAAGTGGCATAACATACTCCACCCATAATTAATTTAATCTTTCTATAACTTGCTGATTTGTAAGTTTTCAACAAACGTGTCTAAGGCTATATGATTCACTAGGTATTCATTTTCATCGTTAGGGCAAATTGAATAAAATGAAAGATACCATAGATCCTATAGCATAAGAAAGAAGGAAAACAACTTTTGGAATCCGAGATGCAATAAATTTTACCTGTTTATACATCACAAAATATAAAGCTAGTCCTTTAAATGTATTTAAGATCAGCAAAAATTGGACAGAGAGTTGTACTATTCATGTGTGTGACATTTCTGCCTTACACATTTGCCTTCTCAGGGATGTACTTATAAAGCATTTTCAAAAAATAGACCATATAATTTTTGGGTTGCCTCTCTCACATAAGCACATTGAAAAACAAATAAAAGTCCTTGTTCAGATAGGATAGTCCAGATTATTAAAACACATCTGTTTGACTAATAAGGCCTTTTTAGACACTCAGCTATGGCAGTTTGTGTATCATAGTATTGCATTTTATCTGTCTGGTACTTTAAAATGTCTGTGTCATTTCTCTCCTGTGAGCTGGATATGAGTCTCTTCATTTTTTACCTGAATAATATTTAACACACAAGCCAAGTGATTTGTCCCAACATCACTGGCAGAGACAACATTGAAGCCCCAATTGTAACATTCTTTCTAGTACACCACAGTCCCCCCTGGACAGTTAGCTGTGAGTACTGCGTAGAGCTCCTTATTTAAATAATTTATAATTTCTTTTTTTTTAATTGAGTTTATTGGTACATTTTAGGGATACAGTACAGTTACATTCATCATTGGGATCTTGTACCTCTACATGACAGGACTTGGTTCTCATTTTTTCCCCTTGTCCGTGCCCTCCCTTCACCCCCTCTTCCCCTCCCCCTTTACAAACACTTCATTTCCATCTTTTCATTTTCTCACATTTTTTTCTTTTCCCTTTTCACCCTTCCCCTACCCATCCCACCTTCCCTCCACCTTGAGCCCCTTTCTTCCCATTTCACAATGTTAGTTATCCCATTAGGACCTTATGTAGTATTACAGTTTCTTCACACCAGAGAAACTATTTGGTATTCACACGTGTTATAATTTCTTCAATATATTGAACCAGACTCTGCAGTTAAAAAACAATAACCTAGGCCACAGTTGTCATCTTCTTTTTATGCACTCTCAAAATGATTTCTGTCTTCCGAAAGAAGGGTGTAGCCCATCATTATTCTTTCCCTTGAAGGAAGGAGCAGGCACTTGCCTGTTTAATGAGTAATGAGGAAGAAACACTTGCACCCTTACATTACATATTCTGCTTAATCATTTTTTAAAACAGTTATTGTTAGGGTGATTTTCTTTCTGTGTTCTAATTTCGGGTTAAGTCTCTGTGGCCCATCTTTGACTAGAGCACTTCAGAAGCTGACATTGATAAACTACTCTAACAAAGTCTAGGCCTCAAGGGCTGCCTTGAGGTATATGACGATGTCACATGTGGGCTGGATTAGAGCTCAGTCATTGCTTTGGTGATGGATTTGGGTCAGTATCTTCTTATAGCCTTCCATTAAAAATGTGAAGACAAGTCTTGTGAAATGTAATTAGGAGAATTTTAAATATGCACAGACTTTTCCACAGATACATGACTTCTTTACCTTTCAAGGTCTTATATCCTTCAAGATTAGCTTTCTCTTTTTTATTCTCTTTCCTTAAAGGGCTCTCACTCTTTAAATCTGTACTATAGATTTGTACTCATAAGCCACTTAATTTCCAAATGTGGAAATTATATTCAAATATATTGTGAAGTTTTATATTCCTTCACTTCTTTGGAGGGTGGGTTGCTAAAGGTTGAGACATGACATACATTGATTTGTTCTTTTAAATTACTCTGCTGTGCCTTTCTGGCCTCATCTCATCTTTGCTGGTTGCTCTCACCACTGGATTTTCTTTACTGCTTCCACCACTTTTCTCCTTAATGGACTTTTGTTCCTGGGATCTTCACTGTTTTCTGCTATATAGACATATCCTTCCTTGGCAACTCTACTAACTACTACCATGTCAGCTGTGACCATCAATAATTCAATTTGTGGAACCCCAAGATTCCAAAATGTATTAGACAAATTGAAAGAAAAAACCCAATAGACACCTAATTAATTCCTAAAAGGAGGCCTCTTTATGAGAGTGACTGAAAAGGAGATACAGAGAGCAGGGGTGGATATTGTTTCAACTAGTATTTTAAAAGAACTTAGCACTGGGTTTGGAAAACTTTAGTAGTTTTATTTGGAATCAGTTGATAAATAAAGATACTTTTGGTCATGAAAGCGTCAAGGATTGCCAAGTGAATGTATAGTGAAAATACAGGAAGTGGAGATGTGAACCTTGCACGAATTGTCTGTTATTTCAAGCAGTTTGCCCTGAAAGGGAAAAGAAATGTGTAGTCATTGTTCAAGAAGACTGTAGAGCTTAGGGGAAAGTTTTTTGTTTTGTTTTCAGAGTTTCAGAGACTTGAGATTTCTGCAGAAGTCTGAGATAAAGTGAATAGTACGGAGAGGTAGATGGAATATAATGGAGTAAAAGAAACCCATAGAGAACGATACAGGCAGAAACAATATGAGATAGAGAGCGTAGGTGAAGATGTTAACCATGAGAAGAGGAGACCCTTGCTGAGGCAAAGTGGTCAGGATGACTCACGTTAATGCTTCTCTCTTGAAGAGAATTGGTGAGAAAGTACAAAGTTCAAAGGAAGGAACTCGGAACGACTTGAAAAAACAAATTACACTCCTGCGTTGTGTAAGTGTTTATATTGTGTGGATATATGACCATTATTTGGCATAAATGAAGTAATAAGGAAATACCCGGAGATGCCTTAGACCTCCCATAACGTTTTCTCTGATCAGAAAATAGAATTTCAGGTAGGACAAAGCTTCCCTTGTAACCACTACTACATTTATGGTAATTTTTGAAATTATTTTTGGATGATCCTTGTCTTTCATTAAATGCGGTGTCAACCGACCTGGAGTCTTGGCATGTGTGAGCTGGAGGAGTCATGATAGTAACTCCGCGCTCTCTGGGAGTTTTAGCACTGCTCTCTTTCTCAGTAAAGCTGTTCCACTGTAGCATCAAAGGGAGCTGCTAGACATTAATTGCCTTGTTTTGTGATATTACCATTTAAAAATCAGTGAATATGGACAGTAGGGACCAAGCCACTGAATTTATAAAGTAGAGTTTGAGAATGAGAACTTTCCATTTAATAGCATGAAGAATTCCTGGGACGATGAAAAAGAAACAATTTTGACAGAAGTTGTCACATAGGAGGTGAGAGGTTCAAGGATCTGTGTGTGCGTGTGCGTGCGCATGTATACATATGAAATAGTATGTTATTTGAAGTGGGCCATAATCTTTTCTTGGTCCCTTAGTTCACCAGCTGAGCACAGAGCTTGATTTGCTCCAGGATAGTAGTTAAATGAAGAAATGCAAAGTGACTAAATTTTAGGGAAAAATTAGGGAATTTTTTTAGGGTTTCAGGACATTTCCTTTATAAATGCAGATGGTTTTCTCACATCATTTCAAGTCTTATTGTATATGAGAATCACTCTGACACTGTAAGCAAAACATTATAAATGCATAACCCTAAATATTCTGATTCACAAGTTCTAGAAGTCAGTTACTGGTATTTTAAAACATCAACCATGAGAATTGGAGGATTGAACTGAAAATTCCTTCTCTTTGGCATGAGTTAGATTTAAAATTTTACACTTATTGTAAAATGCATTAAGATAAAAGAATGATATGTCCCATTACATAAATATATTGAAAAATGAAAATCAAATATTCACAGGTTTGTGGATTAAATAAATACAAAATCCTTTTGATCATTATTTAGGCACTGACTTTTTGAAACTTGCTAGATAGAATTAAGAAACAATTGTTAGTAAAAAGATCAAATTTAAGGAGCTAAAACTTGGGATGATATTTGTGTCCTTTAGATGATATTATGTTCACAGAAAGCAATTATACCTGAACCTGGGCCTCATAAAACTACAAAAATAGAAAAAAAGAAGAAAGCAATTCAAGCTTTAAAAGCTGCACAGAAAATCTAGTTGCTGCCGATTATTTCATTTTTAGCTAACACCAAAGCCAAAACCTAATTCTTGGATGTAACCACAATAACATCATAGAAAGGATGTCCAGTTCATTCATGTAAATTCTAAGGAGTATGTTTTCATAACCACTGAGCAACAAAAACCATTAACTCAATGCCAATGACTGAGGTATTCTAGGTTTTTTCTGTTTCTCCTTCTTCTGTTCCTCTTCCTCCTCCTCCTCATTTATCTTCTTCCTTTTTTTTTTTTTTTTTTTAAGACAGGTCTTGCTATGTAGTTCAGGCTGGCCTTGTGTGCACTGTGTAGACCAGGCTGTTCCCAAACTTGCAGAGATTTTCCTGCCTCAGCCTCTGTACTGCTGGGATTATAGGTGTGCACCGCTATGCCTGACTCCTACTAACGTTTCTATTCAAAATAAATTTCTTCAAGGGAAGGAAAGAAAAAGGTATTCTGTCTATACAGTCAAGTGCCTGTGCTTCTCCATTCAGGGAGCAAAAATGGATTTTAGCCATTCTACCTAGAACAAATAAGGATAATTGGGTTGACATCTACATACATTCTGTCCCCTTAAAAATATTTACTTCTAAAACTGTGGCAGAGTATGAGATTTTAAGCCACCTCTATACTTTCTGGAAGAGGTTTCAAAATTTACATGTAGCTGTTAATGTGAGGAAGAAGGGAAGAAAACAGAGCAGGCTTTTGATCTTGCTGGCAGTAACCCGTTGGCCAGAGGAACCTGTTAGAATCCTCAGTTGATTCATCTGAAGACCAGCTACATATAAGTGGAGAAGGGAAATCAGTATAGTGTAGGTGAAATTTGAAAAACCACACTATTCTGTGAGCAGAAGAGAATGACAGTTTCCAATAGAACAATCATATAATTTCCTTTCACTCGGCTTTGAAGAGATTCAGTGACTACATTGATTTCTACTGACTTTGAGTCTTTGCTAGGTTCTTTTGCTCACCTGATACATTATATAAGTCCTAATGTATCTTAATATAAAATAAGACTGAGACTGGACTGGATACCTTAAAAATTGAAACGCAAGGAAGCAGAAATGGACTTGAGTAACAACTCATGGTACAAGGTATGACTCTGGTGTGACAGAGGTTTAGATTTAAGCTTTCTAGAATTCAAGAAAAAATGAAAACAATATATATAGTTATACAATACACAAGTTTTAATGAGTTAAGAGCAGTGCCCATGGAGGCAGCATCATTCTTATTAGTAAAATGGGATAAGAATTTTTTCTTAGTTTCTCATAAAAAATGAATCGTATTGTGAATATTTTCACAGCTGATCACCTTGAGGCTAAAAAGGATCTTTTTATACCTATTATATACGATGTTCTTAAATACACTATCATCACAATATACGTATTAAATATATGGCAAAATCCAGAAAACTGGATCTTTATGTGGATGAATCGTATTGTAAAATGCAGAGTCACTATAGGAGTGGACAGATACCTTGTCTTTCAAGTATTCTAAGCTGTATTTTTATTTTTGGCACCAGAAATAGAACTCGGGACCTTGCACTTGCAAGGCTGGTGGCAACACCACTGAGCTAAATCCCCAGCTCTAAGCTGTATTTTTATAGATTGAGATTTGTGCTTTAAGTAAACATATTTTATTTATCTTTACAACATGGGTAGGTATAGTTGAGAGTTCAATTGTGTTATAAACATCTTTTAGGAAATTTGTCTTTGTTTTTTTCAGCATGTGTTCCTCTTTAGTTCTATCACTCACCATTTTTTTTTTTAACTTTCTTATTTTCAGTTTGTCTCCAAAACTCTGAATCCTTCAAGAAACACTAATTTATTGTATGGTGAGAAGAGTTCTGTCACTAAGAGTAGAAATCTTGTATAAGAGACTTAAAAACTAGATGCTATTGGAAGAGAAAGATTGATATTTATTTATTTATTTATTTATTTGTCTTTTGAGACAGGGTCTCACTATGTAGTTGAGACTGACCTGGAACACTATGGAGCCCAGGCTGGTCTCGAACTCCCAGCGATCCTCCTGCCTCAGCCTCCCAAGTGCTGGGATTACAGGAGTGAAC